TGTTAGCAGAGCCAATCCGGAAACATGGCTCGGAGCTGGCGGAGCTCACCAATCAGACCAGATTTGGCCTCTAGGGAGGCCGGCAAGGAGCTGAAATGACGCATGTTTACACATACGGGGAAAGAGGGTCTGGAGCTTAATTAACTTTATGAACTTACAAGGGTGTAAACATTTATAAGCAGAAACTTTAAATATGTTATATAAAGCCCCAACTTAGCATAATACTAGAAGTGTGTGAAGCCTCTATTGTGTGTTGGTTCCCCATCTTTACTAAATGCTCTGGTCATGTTACACCAGTCAGTGTTCAGTACTGCAGTGAAATTCTATTAAAGCACAGTTTTATTTTCTGTCTAGCTGTGGTGGAAATTGAGTCATACAGTACCTTCCATTAACTTCAATGCTTCCACCCGTTTCATCTTTTCCTTTTCTGTGTTGCCATTATTTTGCCAGACATTTTTTCTCTGTAGGAAATGAATTAAGCAGCATTGTCCATCTACAACAGGAGGTTGTACTAGTTTGGTTTGGTGACTGAAAACAGCTTTGATAAGTGTCATCGTTCTTTCAAAACACCTTGTTGATTTTACACCTCAGGCTCAGTTTACTCTTCACCTACTTCCTTTGTATCTTCTGTAGCTCAAAGGAGTTCTCCAGTGTCTGAGAAAATAACCCTGAAGATGCCATGGACATGTCACCAGGACTAACTCGGAGGCTGCACATTTATAACAGGCTGTGTTACAAATTGGCGTGTGACTTTGGTAGGATCTAACAGATGAAACTATCAAGTTGGATTATGGGAAATGCAGGTGCAATAATATATCACCCTGTAACTCTGTCTGTGGTTGTCAAGTGTGACATGTACCAAATGCCAGCCTGAAACCTCTTGTTTCACTGAGGATGGGCAGATATCATGGATGTCTGAGTGCTTGTTTCAAGTTGTAAAACATGGACCACAGAGTTCAGTCTGACAGGCTTATCACAGTTTGCTCCCTCTATCATGTCATACACTACACAGAGTCTCCAATTTGGCAGCTACTGCTTTGGCTTGCTAGAGACTGTCTAGTCTCTGTACACCCATCATGGCCGCCACCACTATACCGGCTATAGGCCTCCTTATACAGTACAGTACCCCCTGGAATGTCTTTGTGCAGTGCCCTGGAAACACTGACTTTATTTTGTCGAAATACAGCATGAGCATCGGCGCAGAGGTGGCACTACTGACAAAATAAGAAGTTTTCCACTTGAACAAAATGAGTCATCCTTCTTCTCACAGCACAATGTGTCTTGCCACTGTGGCATACTCCAGAGCAGGGCTTCTCCAACTTAACATCCAAGATCAAAGGTCCACAACGATTTTCTTATAATTTGCGAGCAATGTACACTCATGGGCCACTTTATTAGGTATACCTCTATGCACTTCCAGTGCAACACTTCCACCATAACATTTGTATTTAGGAAGCTCAAAATGTTTCAGTTTTTAGTGAAATTGTCATTAATGTATAAATTCTGTATTTGTTATTGAGGTCATAGTTAAAGGTGGTGGTGGTATTTAAAGATGTGTCTATATTTTTCTCTTTGCCAGCTACGTATGCGAGAGATTCAGAATATTAGCCTGATTCTCATGCCAGAATCGCTGTAACAATCGCCAAATAGGCTATATTCTACAAAACTAACAATTTATTGATAAATATAAAACTTTTTTTAAAGCAGGAAACATACACTTTGTTACATTGTTTCATTGCACTCCTAACACTAAGTGTGCGCTGGGTCCAGATTGACTTGCCGACCGGAGTCTGGACTTTGAGAAGCCCTGGTCCAGAGGCACTGCTGTCATTCAAAGCATGGAGGTGACCGATGGCATCTCTCAGCTGCTTTTCAGCAGCCTTGTTAATAAGGCTAATGTTGCCTCTATTGTAAAATGGTAATCAGAGCCACAGGCTTGTGATGTGTTCCAGTCCCATCTGCTCAAATTAGTCTTTCACTTGACGATCTCTCAGTGGGACGTCCCTGAGCCCTCACTAACGCTTGACCGAACTAACTTACAGGTGAATGCCGTTTTGGTATTTTTGTGAATAAAATAACATTGATAATTTTTGTCCATAAACAAAACAGATGTTTTTCTCCCATCCAGTTAAAGTCATGCAGTCATTTTAAAGCAGTAAAGTTTTCTTCTGGTCAAACAACCTTATAAATAGCGGTTCTTATACCTAAAAACAGATGCAATTTAAGGGCAAAGATATTCTTCAAAGAGATATTGCTGTTTTAATATAAGGTTTTAGTACTGTAGGCACGATAAACTAAATTTCATTCACCTCTATTGTGTTGCAGCAGAAGCAGAAATCTCAGAGGTACTACAGAATTCCACAGAACCTGGACAAATCAAACCAGTTTCCTCTATGAGATACTAGCGGAGGGAAGGGAGAAGATATGTTTTTCTATAATTTGGGTGAATTGTCCCTTAAATTCAGGTGCCTCAGTCAAATCACTTGTATTTTGTATTGACATGCGGCTGGGATTCGTAAGAAGCAGTATGTCCTTCTACAGCCGACTAAAAATATCCCATGTTGCTCTGCCTACACTGCTTAAACGCTGTGTGTGTGGCCTGGTATTGCTCATGTTGTGGGGACATAAATTTGTTGACACAGTGTGGTGACTCTTTGTCCTTACGGGGACAAAAAGCAAGTCGCCAAGATGTAAATCATGACTTGGTTTAGGGTTAGGTGGCTAGTGGTTATGTTTAAGGCTTAAGTTGCCAGGAATGAATGTAAGTCAGTGTAATGTCCTCTCCAGTGGTGAAAACACTGTGTGCATGTGTGAGTGCCTTCCTATTGTGAAGCGGTTGATGAGCAGTAATCTCTTCAGATTGCAGAACAAAAAGTACAGTGGTGTGTGCTTGAATATAGACAGACCATAGAGCACGATGTTTGCTGTAAAATTAGTTTCCCCATGAACTGGGAGTCGTCTTGCTTCACACAGGCAATGCTTCAGTCAAATTAGTGGGATTATTGCCAAGACATTGCTTTGAAGCGTTGCCCTAAAACACAGCATTTATTGCTGAAGTACTTGTGCAACTAAAGGCTGCAGACACCAGGTGAAGGCATTAGCATTTGTCAATAGCAGAAATGGTAATGACTGACATTTGACAAAACATTCACAGAGGAAGAAAAGCATACAGTTAGATAGATAGATAGATAGAAATACTTTATTAATCCCAATCTGGGAAATTGCATTGTTTCAGCAGCGGTTCACACTCAATATCAAGCACACATACCAATAAATAGAATAGATAACTCACTAAAAATATAAAAATATAAAACAAAGTAAAAAAATATGTTAAAAGCTAAAAACAAACCCAACACAATCAAGTACATATACATAATGACTTGATGAATGAAACATATGCATACAGCATACATAAAGCATACAGTTATCTCATTTGTCTCTGGCAGATTCCATTTACCTTCAGTTTATCTAATGCAGATATTCCCTCATTCAGAATTCAATAGACAACTGTAGAATAATGGTGAAGTTAGTGTCGAGCAGCTTCTCCTGCTCCTCCATAAAAGGTTTTTGTCAATAAACTGATGCAGCCATGGAGGTGTTAGACCCAGTTCTTTTCACCACATTAACTCTGAGAGACGAAGCAGTCCGAGTAATTTCAAAACAGTGCTGATTTATTCAATGAACACAGGTAAAATTAACATTACACACTCAGGAGTCTTTGCACCTCCAACATGCGCGCAGGCAGCTGAAAGATGAAAAGCCCAGAACCATAACAGGATATCGCTTCGGGCTAGCCCCATTCTACACAGGAACGCCAAACCGTGATGTCTCCCGGTGCCAGCTTTGCAGCTGGTCAGAGCAGTAGTCAAAGCATGAAGCAAAATCAATGTATGATTGTCTGTTGATTATGTGGTGTGTATCTAAGACATTCTGACATGACATTAAGCATAAGAAAATATTATGACTACGATTATGGTTAAACACTTCATAACAATTAGGGGTGCACCGAAATTTCGGCCACCGAAAATTTTCGGCCGAAAAGGGCATTTTTATTTCGAGCCGAAATAAAAAAACACGCCGAAAATGCCCCGCCCCGCCCCGAGGCGTACACTCCCTCACTTTCCGAGATGTTTGACGAAATTCTACAGAAAAGCGCCCCGATCCGCAGCGGTGGAACAAGCGCAGCCTTACAAC